ACTTCTAACAGCAATTCAGTATTTGAAATGAACTGATACTTTCTGAGGGTTGTTTTCATTGTACCAGTTCTATCATCAACTGCTTTAAATAAACTGAGTGGGGAAACAGTTATCTCCAGTGGAGTGAGGACTAGAAGGCTCTGGTTCAAGAATTACTGAGGGAAACTTCGAAAGAGAACTACTAGGAGAGGGGGATTATGGGCCAGCTGCTGTTAACTTGCTTTTGTTGAAAGAAAATTTAAATTCTAAAGAAGTTACTTAAGGAATCTCTTTTCCATTAGAAGGCTGAAGAACCAGTTCCATCTCCCAAGCAGGAAATGATGAAGACAGTTTTGCAGAATTCTGATGTACTTCCACCACGAGATCAAAAGGTACCAAAACAATTTTTAGGAAAGGAAGTAGAAGTATGTTAAAGACTTCAACTAAAAATGTGATTAAACCCAGTTACTGGAAAATGTCACTTTCTATATTAAGACCCAGACAGCTTAGGACCAGTGCTGCGTATGGATCCCTTCTTGGTGTATGCAGAAACTGTACCTGAATATAGACCTGTTTGGACTTCACCCTTCCTTCCCTGTAAAGCCCCAAGGCTGTACAAACGCAGCTGGTCAGAACACTGCAAAAAGTTGCAACTGAGAGATGCTTTCCTACCATGAAGGCAGCTCCTCTCTATGCCTTACTTGAACAATTATGTTCCACCAGACTGCCTCAGCTTGGTGTTTTGCAGAATTTGCAAGTACATCATACAGAATCATACATTGTGTACTAGTATCCCCTTAACCTAGTCTTTTCTTTTCCTAGACACTGCTGGACTTGGAAGATGACTTGGATAACTTGGATCTGGAGGACATTGATACCACAGATATCAATCTGGATGAAGAGATCTTAGATGAGTGAAGAACATTTTAGATGACCAAATCAATTACTCCAAACAAAGGAATGAAGTTCTGTGGACTATGTGCTCCAAGTTAATTTGATTTTTATACCGCAAGTGGACCATGTACATGTAGAAGGAAGGGTAGTAAAAAGACTGTACAAAATAAATCAGCTTCCAGTATGTTGAAATTAAAGATGTAGACCTGCTCCAGTGCATACTAGAAGTGTTCTCATTTATCAAGCAATTTAATAAATCCTTTTAAACATTCTCTATTTACTAGTAATTGTACTATTCTTACCACAGCTTCAATAGCATCTGTTGCAAATGTGTGAAAGGGGAGCATAGTAGTCAAGTGCTAGTATTTTATCCTGACAAAAGTCAGGTTATACACCTAGGTATATAGTTACTTTTTCACTGTGAGATTTAGCTTGTAACTGAGCTACTGATTTAACAGTTACTCTTCCAGAGAAGACAAAACAGCAATGTGTGGCAGCAATGTGTGGTGTGATACTTTTCTAACTGAAGCTGTCCAGACCCTACACTTCAGTAATTCAAGTTAATTGTGGGCAACTATTTATATTAAAGATGCAACAGTAAAGGAATTAAACTCTGGGTATCTTGTCACCTCAAAACAAAAGTCATGATGTCTGGTGTAAGTTCACTTACAGAACTTGTGAAAATAACAAGCTGCAGTAGTGATTCTTACATATTTTTAGTAAAAAATTTTCTAGAACAGTCACTTGTTTCAAGTATTTATTATGGAATCCTGTACAGAGAATGTTTATAAACAGACTTAACTTACATCAACTAAGGTTTATTTCATGAAGCTGTGGAAGTGGCCATTGCTTCTTCATAAGCCTGGAGAGCCAGTTGTATATAGCCTTCTTTCTGTGATTCAGTTTTCACAAATACCTGCGAACATGGCAAGAGAGAGGTTAATGGACAATTAAAAGCACAGTTGCATAATGAGATTTCATGACTCCAGTGGTAGACCAGCCAGCTACAACTGAAATCCTGGTGCAGCTATCTCTAGTTTAGAGGAAAAAAAACAACCAAACACCAACCTAGCATGCACAACCATTCTAGTTAAATAGCTGCTGCTTAAGGTAAGGAGACATTTAGATGACTAAATGGGCTTCTGCTGTTTAAAAGCTTTCTCTTCTCTAGTTAAGTAGCCTTAAAGTAGAAAAGCATACCTTGATCAGATCAACTCCTTGAAGTTTCCCTCCTTTAGCTTCTTTTGCTGATTGACATTCAGGATGAAGCATGTGATACAGTGTAATTAAACTCGTAGCATCATCCAGCCTAAACAAATAAAGGCCCAGTTGGAGCAATTAGTTTCTCTGACAGAATATTTAGAGAACAGGTACTTTGTGGTGTACTTTGCACACCCCAGGCTGTCACAAACTTCTGCTTTCACAGAGTGTACAGTCAGTGGAATATACAGCTCAACCTGCATCCCAGGTAAGGCCCATAAGCTTATCCATGCTGCAGTTTAAGCCTGATGCACTGTTCAGCAGTAATAAAGCTGAAATATCTCTGTAAAATACTTGTTACTGGGTAATTAATTGTATTTAGCAGAACAACTCTGCCAGAGAGAAACTTTCTAATACTGACTGCGGTTAACTAGCATGTCTTACAGAAGTAGTATTAGAAATCTCGTGACATTTAGCCCTCAGCTGAATTTAAAAGTGGAACATAAACGTAAAACAAATGTAAGCAATAAACTGAAAGTGGGTGGGTGGCAGGTAAAGATGCTCCAAACTCTGGTAATTTGAATCATCCAGACATGTGAATTTTCCCTTTTAACAATCTGATTCCAAAACCAGAACTTTCCTGTATTTCTTCATATCCTCAGGTTTAAAAGTAAGAGCTGACCACCTGTTGGAAGTTTCTGACTTGAACAGCAGGAAACGAACACCACCATCACTGCAACTTGGAGTTCCAATTGTACAAATTTCTCCTAGCTGTAGTGACACTTTGAACAATTAAACATTGCTTGCTTCAGGGAGTCTTGAGTATGTTTAGCAGCATATATCTTATAGAAACCCATCCATTTAAAGTGTATCTATCTGTTCCTAAGCTGCTCAGGAATTGCTCTAAAACCCAGAATGAATGTGTCAATCTTAAAAGCCAAAATTGAGCTCAGTAGTATAAAACTGTTAGGCTTTACAACCAGCACTGCCTAGAGCTGGAAGCGTACTTACAATTACATGGGAAACAAAAATAAGACCCCAACAACTACAAAAGGCTAATTTACACAGAAACATAGTTTAATACCCTACAACTTCATCGACTGAGCTGCTGCTTCCATTCAGCACCTATATAGCTAAAAGTTACAGCTAGCCTAAAATTTCATGCAAATGAGAACATTTAAAAACAGCATTTCTGTAAGATGTAGATTTTCAAACAATGGTACTTGTTTTCTGTTTGTTTAGATAAACAGAATTACTAAGTGACAAACACCACTTACAAGTCTCTGTGGATCATATCTATTAGTAAGCCATCTGTTTTCTTTCTGTTTACTAGATACCACACCATTCCTCCAAAGTGTCTCGTTGAACGCAGCAGATCATATTTGCCATGTTTCTCAATGTCATCGTATGTCCGATGATGAACCTATACAGAGAAAAGGTTTTGGTTTCGTCACCATTAACAGGAGCGTGATGACAGTTTCTCCCTGCTACTTCTCACTTAAGAGTTTTTTAATCTATTTTCAGATCTCCCTAAAGTGCAGGAATAAGCCACGGGCTGAACCATGCTACCTTAAAGCTTTATACATGTTGATATATGTATACATGTACATATATTCAGGGTAACACTGGGATAACCCAGTTCTTGGTACTTAGGCATTGACATCTTTATGTTAAGAGAAAGCTGAATACTAGCTACATACCAAAAATTTGGGGAGGGAGGAATATAACATCTGAATCTTCATTTCACTGCTGTCAAGTTATAATCTATTCTTTAAGGGGAAAAATGCTAAAGCAAAGGTAAAAATTACTTTGCAGAAAAGGTACCTGAAACACTGCCTAATGGAAGTTACATTCCCAGTCATTTGAGAAATTATCACAGCTTAAAGTAAACACTTTAAAGGCAAGTGTAGACTAACAAATTCACCAGTTACTAAATCTAAATATTTTAGCTAGAAGTATATTTTTGGTCTTTGTTAAAAATACTTTGTACAGTGCTCTCAGGTGAACTTCATCAGTTATCTAACTTTCTTAGTTATCCACCTGGTCCTTTCAAATCCTAACACAGCAGTTAACATGACTTGAGTAGCACAACCCTGGTTGTGTCCACTTACAGGCGTTACCATCAATTCTGGTTCAGTATCAAAAATACCTATATAAAGACTGTTTTGATGCAGCTGTAGCTCTTTATATGCTGTTGAAAATTACTTAACCAGAATCTTGTTTTACTGCAAGAAAAAAGAAAAAAACTCATCACAAGGATAAGAGGTGATCTGTATGGGGAAAAACACAAATATGAACAGTACTTTTGATCCCTGGATAATATTTATGTGTATAAAACAAACCCTAAAGTTCTTCAGTAATTCTATTTTCTTTTTACTAGAAAAATGAAAAGTGAACTCACTCTGATATAGTCAGGTGAATCTGGCTCAAACTGAGCAATGCACATGTTAAGGATATCCTCATGACGGTCTTGCTGAAACACAGTCTAAAACAACAGTTCAAATTTGAGAATAAATTCTGTATCACACCATTCCAACTCTCCAAAATCAAAACAGCAGCCACAACATTTCTGTTCTGGGCAACACTTGCAGTGAGTATCCCCTTAATCACAAGGCAAAATGGATAAAACTGCAGTTAACTGCCTTTATGACATTAACACAATGTTTCTTGATTTTTCTTTCTGAAGCACCATTCTCATTTTCAGATTAAGCACACAATTTCATCAATGCCTAACACTTAGATGTAAATATTCTGTCGTACTAGAAATCCACATGTACACAGCATTTACCTGGCCCTAACCTGGAACTTCATCGTAAGTATTTTAGCTAAGTTACAATGATAAGCAAGTGTTCAAAACAGAATTCAAGCACCAAATTGAAATACCGAAGTACACTGGCTTATTCAGAGCTACTCTGTCCAAATAGCACAGTTTCACTATCAGAGCACATGTAAGCAAAAATGATCAGTTTTCAAAACCAGGAAGATCTTACCACAAGGTGTTCGTCCTTGAATACCACTGGGGGAATAACTCTGCGCCCTTCCTTTGGGAAGAATATCTGTATCATTCTGTCTCGTTCTTCCCAGGTTGCTTTGCGTAAAACACCATTTGGTTCTCTAACTACAATGAAACGTTCCTGGAAAGAAGGTAAAAAAAGGGGATTATCTCCCACAGTCTTCTCTCATCCTAGCCAGAACCACTGTAAAAAAGATTCTTATCTGGCAAAGTCCGTCTATACCTAAACTCACATTAATAATACCAATTTCTAACTAACTGTTGCTATGTGCTAGATTCATCATTTCTCCCTTGGTACCTGCTAATTAAGTGCTACATTTGCACCTTAATTTTAATGTATACTGTAACTGTGCATGTGCCTACACTAGAAGCTACAGCTCTGTGAAGTTCCAACAGATAACATAACTAATACCCAGAGAAAGGAGTTAGTGTCGCTGCTGGACTGATTTTATGCATGTAGGAACACATACTAAATTAAGAATGCAAGTGTCTTGTATTTTTTTATCTTTGTTTCAGAATTAAGTGCTAGAATCACTTAAAGGGCAATTGTAAAACAAAAAGTACAACAAATAAAACAATATACTCAGATTTGTTCACAAGCATATTTGATTTGGGGCGGCAGGCAGAAAAGCTTGTTGGGACAAGGAAGTTCTCAATACATTGAGGCAGAAGAATAAATAGCAGGTTCCTGGAAAGAGCTCTCAGAGAGTAATGGATGGAAGACTTGGCAATTCATTTCAGGGGATCATCGCAATATGCATGTTTGAACAATGCAGACTTCTTACAATCATAAATATTTGTTAAGAATTTTTCCAGCCTCTTACTACTGGTGCTTAAGACAATCTAGATGTTTCATTATACAAAGAAATCTTTAACCCTATACTCCGCAATTCTATTTGACAACTGTTTCTTCACAGTTTTCCCATGAATTAATTTATCATTCACTTGGCTTGCCACCAGATCTTTGCAACTGTGAAGTAGCTCCACCTTTTGGTCTATGCACAGCACTATGTAATCCAGTTCCACAGAAAGCTTCTAAGAAGTCTGGAAGAACTCAGCACTCCTAGCATATCACAAGCATCCACTTTTAAAAAAAATCAATTATCCCACAGCTTCCCCACACACACCTGCTTTTGAGCACTGGAATGTAATTTATCATAGAATCATAGAACAGTTTGGGTTGGAAGGAACCTTTAAAAGCCATCTAGTCCAACCCCCCTGCAGTGAGCAGGGACAGCTTCAACTAGATCAGGTTGCTCAGAGCCCCGTCCAACTTGACCTGGAATGGTGCCAGGGATGGGGCATCCACCACCTGTGCCAGTGCTTCACCACCCTCATTGTGAAAAATTTCTTCCTTATATCTAGTCTGAATCTACCCTCTCTTAGTAAAACCATGACCCCTTGTCCTATTGCTACAGGCCCTGCTAAAAGGTCTGTCCCCATCTTTCTTGTAAGCCCCCTTTAAGTCCTGGCAGCTACAGTAAGGTCTCCCCAGAGCCTTCTCTGCTCCAGGCTGAACAACCCCAATTCTTTCAGCCTGTCCTCACAGCAGAGCTGTTCCAGCCCTCGGAGCATTTTTGTGCCCTCCTCTGGACCCTCTCCAACAGGAGCCCAAGGGCTCCACAGCTGGATGCAGGACTCCAGGTGGTGTCTCGCCAGAGCAGAGGGGCAGAATCTCCTCCCTCGCCCTGCTGGCCACGTGGCTTTGGGTGCAGCCCAGGATGTGGTTGGCCTTCCGGGCTGCAAGCACATGTCGCCGGCTCACGTCCAGCTTTT